GCAATTATTGGAACTTTCACCTAACTCAGCGACAGAAACGCTGATTACTGGGCTTTGCAAATGATGAATCAATGGGCCTTATGCATAAAAAGTGGGCTGAAACTCCAACTCAATTTTCAGTACAAATTCTTTAGCTTGAGCTCACCCTTTCAGTGCAAAAACTGAGTCTGAGCTTAAGCTCACTTTTTATGCATAAGGCCCAATGCTTCTGAAATGAAAAATATTTACTATTAATTAAAGTCGCACCAATTTTCATTTTTTCCAAACATAATTTTAAATTAATTATTTTTTTTTTTATTTCACATGACACACTTTGATTTACAAGAAAAAAAATCAGAACAGTTTTTGACACTCCACGTAAATGTAGTTTTTGCTCTCATGCTATTTCCTTATGAATTGCCTTGAGTGATACCGTAAGAAAAAAATTTTCAGAAATCAACGGTAATCTCAGTTTTTCTTTCCTTTTGGAAGACGCCTAAATTTCCCTTTTTTGCCAAACTTAACATATGAGCAACTAACCATACTTTTTTCAACTAAAAATATAAATGTATTTCCTCGCAGCTGCGTTTAGTTTCATCCGAATTAATTTCTAGCATCCAAGTCATTTCAAACTATTCGCTACGCATCGCTGATCAAATCCATTTAAGAGAGATTAATTGTATCGGCTTAACATTTTATTGCAAGCAATTAAAGCAAACAATGAACAAAAATAGGCTATAAAAAAAAGTAACGAAATGGTCAAATGAGAAATGAAAAAATGAGGAAAAAATTGAAAGTCATCATTAAATCGCATACATACATACATACATATGTACATATTTCCAAAGCATCTAAACTAAGTATCAGTTGGTAAGCAATGAGTGAGTTGCAAAAAGAAAGTTGTCACAAAAACCATAAATACGCCACAACTAAAATAATGTTAAATTTTTTTTGTGCGAAATTTTTTTATATAAAAAAAAACCATTAAAGCCACAAGCGAGTGCTAGGCGGACTGTGAAACTAAGCACGGGTGGTGGAGAGGGGCACACTGCAATTGATGAGGCGGAAAACGACACAAAATACTTGTAGTAAGAGAGCTAGCCGCTCGGGAGTGAAAGAGGGAATTAAATGAGCGAAGTGCTTACGTTGAGCTGAGTGATAAAGTGAGTTCGTGCAGAAACGTTTCAGCCATAAATTGAATGATCGGCCGGCCGAGTAGTAAAGTGATTGAAAGAAGCAGACAATAAAATAAGTCGACAAATGAGAGTAGAAGCAGACAGAGACGCTTTGAAGCTTCGGCGCTTCGAGGTTTGGTGACCAAAGTGAAATTACGTAAGACATGCTTGTTAGCGCTTCTCACTGCAGCACTTGTCTGCGATAGCTGCAGTCGCAGAGCATCAGCAACAGCAAAAGCAGCAATCTTCACTCGTCGATCACATTGATAAACACAGGCGCGCACACAATTAACTTCCACAACAAAAATAACTTAGCATAGCATTTCGCTTAAGGCAGAGCACGTATAATAAGCATACATACATAAATGCATACCAATCACCAACCAGCTCTTTGACGAGTTGCTTGCATGCGTACGTGTGTGTGTGTGTGTGTCGATCATAAAGATGATGATGATGATGATGATGGTGATTGTGGTGATAATATATACATATTTACATATTAAATACAGTATTTATTGACAGGTGAAATGGCGACAGGCGTTGTGAATGTAAATGCTTACATACATACATATATATGACCACACTTACACGTACACAAGCTAATACCCTACAAGACAGCTGAGTATCATATGAGTACTCATATTATCATTATCCCTAATCACAAAAGTGCTTATCAAAGTCCTCATTTTCGTTCAGGCCATGGGAAAAAATTGAGTACTTTCCCCTCAATGTTGTCATCAGAAAGTCCTCAGTGCTAATAGTCAAACTACTCATTTATGCCGTACTACAAAAACAAAACTGTAAATGTGTTAGAATTTTTGCCTAAAGTGCTCAGCAATGTCTTGTAGGGTACTTGTTTGATTATTTTATTTCTTCCACTTCTCTCCACTCGCCTTTTTTTTCTTCTATTCCATTTCACAGCGATTGTGTGCAAAATTTTCGGCTGCTTGCATACGCGTATGCTAATAAATGCCAAATTAAAGTGTGATAATGTTAGCTTGACTACGAGATATAAATAAATGCAAGTGGGTATATAACAGTCGAAATATGGCAAATGCAAAAGAAAAAAAAACAGATATGTATGTATTTGAATAATAATACTTTTAAAAGCGCATTTAAGCAAACAAACAAATAAATTTCTGTTTCTATATATATATTTTTGCTTCAAGTCTTTAACTTTAAGTGCTACGTGTTTCGTATTTTATGCATCAAGGAAGTAGCTTAAGCGAGCTGATGACGATTGTTTGAAAGCTTTATTGTTGATGAACTTGTTAAAAAAAAATTTAAAACTTTAGTACTCTAATTTATAACGATCAGTAAGTGGCAAATTTGCTGTATTTGTTTGCGAATAAATGGTCAGTAAGATGAACATTGTACGCTGTATCTGGCGAATAGATCTTTTTATCATGCTAACTTTTGCTCTTTTGGGCTGCTTGTTTTAATCCTAACTTAAGAGGATGTTTGCAGCTCTCAAAAAAAAAATTACAAGAAATGTTTTCATTAATTCTGTTGCATGAAAAATTACTTTGCTTTCGATGTAAATTTTCTTGAAGGAATAAATACATGTACGTGCATTTTTTTCCTGAGAGCTGAAAAAAATTGATTTAAGAAATTTTGATAAATAGAAGCAAATTTCTTTTCCATTTCTTAAGCGTCCTTTTGTATATAAACATTTTTCACTTTTCTGTATTTTTTTGTATCGATGTCTATATGTCCTGACACAAGCCCTCTATGGATTATGAATTCGTAAACTAGCTCGCTTACGACTCGCCTGCTCTCTATCGTTTCTTTCGAGGTTTTCCAGCAGTCCACAATCATGGTAGTTTGTTACGTAAAGAGTTAAGTGAAGAGCCGATAAATTGTTACTCAACTACTATTATCACTGCGAGCTTAGCTTGATTACATCAGCCCACAAAAAAAGTGTTGTGCGCTTTTAACCATGCCCACCTACCGACATGTATTTCGACCCACTGAATCCGAGTTTGAGGTCTGTTTGAGGTCTAAGCTTAAACCAGAAAAACTTAAATCCGAAAGACGATCAAAATCGGCGAACTGATACGCTCAGCATGCGGAAAAAATTCATTTATAAAATCAAATTTTATTAAATTCAGATAATCGGAACTCGCCAATCTATATAATTTTTGTATTTCTTAATTCCTAGCTAAAACTATGTGAAGGTACTAGGAAAAATGTTGGAAACCCCTTATGGCCCAACCCTTGTATGCTATTGAATTTGCAATTAAAGAAACATAATCCATTTTCTTCAAAATAGCTACTTTTTATAAACTTCGCGCAAAAAAATTCAATTCGCCATTTTAAACCCTCTGGCAGCAAGAAAATTAAAATTTAATAAAATTCTTTGAACTTATAATTAAGTTTTTTCTCTTTAAATATAAATTTGCAACTTTTCCGTAATAACCCAAATGCCCTCAATCGCACGCACTCTACCCGATTGCATATTCTTACTACTTAAGTGTATATTATCGTTGTTGGTAAAAGTATGTATCGTGAATTTGGTTAGCGCTGCCAACCTGCTTAATTTCACAAATAGATATTTAGAACACATATTGTTATTAACATAAAAATCAAAAATCGTTTACATTTAAATTAAAATGGAACAGAAAGAGATGAAACAAGAAGAAAACGATCCATGGGCGAATATATAAAAATGTAGATAAGGTTAAAAAAGTAACAAAATATACAAATTTGGCAGAAAAGTATATTAAAATCAGAAAATTACATAGTCCTTAAAGCAATCATATTTTTTTTTTTTTTTTGAAATTTTGTCTGACAATTTACCAAAGCCATAATATGTACAAAAATTTAGCTTTGGATTCTTAAGCAATAGTTGGTTTTTTGTTTGTAGTTGAGACGTGCCGTTTTGTGAATAAGGTCAAGATAGTGGGCGACGACGTCAATGTAATTTGCCGGCGTATTATTACGTATGTGGTACACAGGCGTCAATCAGTAAGCGTATACGCATTCATAATTTTTAACTGCGTAAATTAACTCTTACAAATACAACGTACATACATACATATATATTTGCTGGCATGAAGTTTGGTATTTATTTTTCAAGAAGAAATAGGTCAGCAAAAGAAATGGTAATTTTACAAATTTGAATTTTTTGATTGTATGTGTGTATTTGTAATGTTTGAATAAAACTACACGTTGGGGCGTATGAGTAACAAACGTGAGACCTTTAAGTATATGGATCATTCCATACAATATTTAATTTATTCAATAGTTTTTTTTTGGGGGTGAAATATATTTTTTTACATTCTTTATCGAAAAAAAGAAGACACCTATTTTTTTATTTCGTCACACACATTTTGATACCTTAACTGAATTTCTCCGACAAATAGCTTATTGACTGCAAACAATTAAAAAAAGATACTTCTCCGTGAGTTCCAAATTTCGGGACTTTTATTTCGAGAGTTTCGAATATCATGACGAAATAAAAAAGAGGTGTCTTCTTTTTTTCGATAAAGAATGAAAAAAATATATATTTCACTCCAAAAAAAATATTGAGGTGTAAATATTTTATGGAATGACCCATATGTTTCTACTACACATTCGGATTCTGAGGACTTCAACTGGCCCTAGACTACTGAAATTAGTGAAAATGTTCTTATTGTAAAACAAAAAAAAATATGAAAAATTAGTATGAGACCACCTTTGCAAAAAATCGATCGAAAACAATGCACGTGGTCCAAAGCAACTATTAAGATCTGTTTAAATTCAATCAAATAAAGTACTTACTTTACTCTGAGCTTTAGTTTAAAATTTGAAAACTTCTAATGGCTGTTGGTAATACAAAAAAAAAAATTACCACTGTTCACTTACCTTGTATAGTTTTTCCTTTTGATACCACACATCCTCTTCCTCTTCCTGTGGACTAAAAGTCTGATCCAAATTCAGATCATCTCTAGAACGTGAAAGAATCTTGCGGCGAGACACCATGATGCTGCAAAAGAAGAAGCAGAAAGAAAGAGCCTTAATAAAATATTATGTAAATTAATAACAATAACCCCAATTTCCAAGAAAAATGCAATGAGTATAATTTATTTAAGTGTAAACTTACGACCGTACCAAATTGCTTGTATTGTACTTATACAATACAATTATAATAAAGATAACACTTTATGAATGACCACGGACTGACAAACAAAAGCAAAAGCAAATTTTTGCGCATAAAGCCTAATGAGACAGCAGTTTTTGAGAATTTCGCCGCAGCACATTTAGAATGACAATAACATTTTTGGATGGATTAATAAATTAAGAAATACTCAAAGAAGGACGAGAATTTGCAAAGCAAGCCAACTAACAAAAGGGTATATGTATATTTTATTAATAAACACATTTTCTGCAAAGTTCTTGAATGCTGATTTTTGGGGATTCTTCTTTCTTTTTGTTTTTTTTTTTGCTTCATATGCAGACACACCATTTAAAAGGATTTGTACAAAAACTAAAATTAATGAACCATTGCCCACTTTTGTTTGTTTGCCATTATTCAAAGCTGTGGGTTTGTTTTTTTTTATTTTGGCATGTACATACATACATATGTCCTGTGTCCACAACAGTAATAAATATTTATATTTATTTGTTGCAGTATGTAAGGTGTTGAGTGTTTGTTGGTTTCTTTGAGTTGAGTTGTTGGTAGCGCTGGCGTGCTATGATGACGGTGGCATACACCGAGCGCGCGAGGTGAAAGACCTTTTCGGGTGCGTGCACCAGGAAGTGCAACGCGGCGACGACACTGTTGGTCATCAAAGCACAATGCCGACAGATTTGATGATTGACTGTCTACAAGTGCCTACTACAGCAGTTTTAATGACAATTTGACGTTGTGGGAAATATTTGTGCATTCTTACTGCTTTAGTATTTAAATATGTTTACTGCCAAGTTACACAAATACATATTTATGCATGTATGTATGTCCATACGTATGTGAGTTAACAATTGGGACGCTAAAACTGAGATTTTATATTTACCTTTGCTAAACATGACAAATGAAATGTGAGATTTTATATTCCTACTTACGCATTAGGATAATCCTAAAAAAATTTCAATATCAAAATTTTTGTCCTAGGTATGTCTTCGTATCAAATAAAGACATCAACGAAAGTTTTAAAGTTCTTAAATAATTTTTTGGGGTTGCTACCCGTTTAAAAAAAAATTAAATCTGATAACTCGATATTATGCTGAAAAGTATTCATATAAATTCTTAGTTATTGCTAAAGGGATTAATTGTGTAATATAGATCTCCAAAAATTGTCATTTTCGTAAGCTTTTTCGGAACAAGTACAGTAGGGTAAAATGCTCTGACGAAATAACGTATGTATGTACAACTCATGCTAATTTAAAAACCCCAGAAATGCTTTCTGCTAATTTAAAATGCCCAAACTATACAAAACCATCTTCCGCCTTGGATCACGAATTCTCTATAATAATAAATGGCTAAAAAATGTACTATCGGAATAGCGTTTAAAATTTGGCCAAAATTCAATAGAAGCCGGTCCAGATATGACCCATTCATTACGAAAACTATCACATGGCATAAGTGCGGAAAATAGGCTTTTAAGCGTAACGCCATTATCGCAGTTTTCGAGGTAAAAAAAAAAAAAATTAAAAATAGAAAGCGCCGAGCAGTTTGTCTGCCTTTCTACGGCTTGGGTGAGACTTTACCAATGCATATGATTAGCTTGCCAAAATTACTCAATTTTGAGCGTTTTATAAGGCAAAATAACTAGTTATTTTCTAGCAGAATGGTCGGCATAAAGCCAAACATGGTGGCAAACGAAGGACCAGTCTGAAGTAGGACTTCTATAAAACGGTATACAATTTTAACTGCAATTTAATTATATACCTATATTTATGCGGCTGGACGAGGTCGCCGTGTCAAACTTTTATATTTAAAAAGGCTGGATAAAAATATTTTACTTATAAATAACGACAAAAACTGACTACTATGAACAAAGTTATAAAATGTATGAAATCTTCAACAAAACCAAGTCACCAGGTCATTCACTGTTACAATTCATAATAAATAAAAGCTAAAATTCAATAAAAAATCACTTAAGTCGCTTAAATCACTTCAAAAATACCAACCCAGGGCGAAACACCTGCCCCAAATGCGGTGAAAGTTGGCCGAAAGGAAAAAAACGCTATACAAATTTAAAGCAAAATATGTCGTTAAAAATAAGAGAGTATGCGAATATATTTGTATGCACATAGATACACACATAAGCCGCCCACCTGAGTGAGGCAAGCATGCGAATGTAGAACACACATAAAGAATGTTTGTAAACCACACACAAAAGCAAGAATAAATACGACACTTAGAATGTAAAAAAAAAAATTGCTTTTTATTACCCCGTACATGGCAGGTACTTTGCAATGAGCCACAGCACTCCCATTCGGTTGACGTTGACGATGACGATGATGGGGACAAGGCACGGCACAGCAAAGCGAAGCAGCAAACGGCGGTAGGCAAAAAAACAATAAATCACGAGACGCACACAAGACGGCTGATGGTTGAACGCTGGCTGATGAGCAACAAGTGTTATGACGAATTGTTTAAATGCGTGCGTGTGTAAGTAACGTTCTAGACAATTAGTAGGCGAATCAAAAGACTTAAGCGACGAACCCGCGCCACGTAGATTAACACATGATGCGTAAAGGAATGCCAGTATGTTGAGGGAATTTTTAAAAACCTTAAAGCACTGATAAAAGCACACACACACACACACACACACACAAATAGCAGGAAAAGATGTTTTGGTTGATAGGCGAAATAAAGAAAAATTGCTTTTATAAACGTAAAGCAAAAAACAAATCACAGCTGGCATTTGCTACTTTCTCGTGCTTTAAGTGTATGAATGCGCGGTTTCACAGGAAATGAAAGACGAATTATGCACATGTACACACACACACATAAACACTGTTTTCACATTCAGTTGTAAAATTATGCACTTGTAATATTTTCTAGTTAAGCATTCTTAGTTGGTGTGACGTCGCCGCCGTTAGGCGAATGCAATTTGTTCGAGGAAAAGTTATTATTTTTTTAAATAATTTTTTTTTTGTTAACTAAATTCCGATTCGTTACACCGCGAATCGTTTAATGCGTTACTGCTTTACCAACTGACAGCCAATGAATTGTGTGTGGCTTTTGTTCCATAAATACAGTGTCTGACAATTGAGCGACGTTTTGGCCGCGACTTTGGCCTAAAAGTGCGCGCCTAAAAACGCAGAAGGCGACAATGAAAATGAGGAGGAGGTAGATAGGAACGAAGAAGAAACGCCTAACTGAGTGCTGAAGACCAATAATAGCTCTCATGCAAATATATAGATACAATATTTATGTATGTAGTATTTGTATGTATGCATACTATTACTATATTTGTATTAACATTAGACCGCGCCAACTTACAAACAGACAAAAAATGGTCAAAGTACAGTCCTGGATCTAGAGTACTTTTCCGGCGTAATTTGGAAATATTTTATTTTTTTGCCGACTTAGGGGTCGCCTTTGTATATTTAAAAAACAAATCGATGAATTTGATTATGTAAATGTTTATAAAAATTTCAAAACTTTTATTCAGATTCAAAAAAAAAGCTAAGTATTCAGCTCGTTTCAAAGAGGACCAACTGAAACCACAGAATTGTTCAGGTCCCGTAAAGGCAGTTAGCGATCCTTCTCGTTCCAACTCGTCGGCGACTTTTATATGATTTTTGTATTTTTTATTGTTTTTCTGCTGAATCTGTTGTGCATTTTCGTTTATATAAAAAAATTTTGGAAAATACATAAGAACCAAGAAAAAAAAGGAACAGTCCAGCGCCTTCGTCTTGGTCTGCAGGCTGTATCGGAGATACAGCCGCTATATTTAAACGTAGAATACGTGGTATGGTTAAGAGCATATCCAAGTCAAAAACGAAATCACACACTAAGAATAGAAACAGATCCACATTAACTGCAATCAACATATGTACGTATGTATGTATTTACATATGTACACACGCTGCGATTAGGTTATAAATAGCGCGCCTCTGTTTATCAAAAGCCGCATTACATACGCATACATACTTTTTGTCTCCTTCCCACACTTCCAACATATGCACGTGTTTGCAAAATGATGACGAGGTGATTTTGTATGGAAAATCATTTATGCCCATATATTTGAATAAAATAAACATATATAGAAGATATCAACCAATACTTCCCATATACCAAACGAAAGGAAAACTCTTGAATTTTTGATTAAAGAAAACAAAAACAAAATCATTCGAGCGGTTTTCGAGCATTTTGGTAATGAAAAAAATTTGCAAATTTTTTCAACAATTTTTTGCCTTAAAATGCTCAATATTTGTTAAATTTATATAAAATTTGTACCCGATAATATTTCTACTGCTCCAAAGAACCTATATCCCGAAAATGAAAGTTATATATGCCAACAATAAGTTGCTAGAGCACTTTAAAGGCTCAAAATTGACCCCAAAATAAGGCAATGTTTACCGTTGTTTTTACGACAGAAACCGAATTGGTTATTTACAAAAATGAATCTGTCGACAGGTTTGGAATTTTATCTTTGAAACGCCACACTTTTCTTTGAAATCGCTTTTGTGAAGCTCTAAAAATTACAACTACAACATTTGAACATAGCCCCCATACCTTAAGGTAAGACGTATTCTACGTCAAAATGTCAAAAATCAATTCAAACTCGTAGTCTCTTGAAACTTGCTTTTTGTTATGCTAAAATCTAATGGGATAGAAAACGGCATACCAACATTTTTCTAAAAATCCTCGTTAAAAGTTTGCCATTTTGATGAAATGTTGTCGAATTTTCTCAATTTTTGCACAAAGTTTGAAATTTGTACTTACATAGTTTTTGTTAGATAATAAGCTACATTTTCAGAGAAATAATAAATATATAAACAAAGGAAAAATGTAAAAAACTTGTTAAAATG